GAAGCCAGGAGCCAGGTGCTTCTCCTGGTCTCCCATGGGGTGCAGGGCCCAAGTACTTGGGCCATCCTCCACTGCACTCCCGGGCCATAGCAGAGAGCTGGCCTGGAAGAGGGGCAACCGGGACAGAATCTGGTGCCCCGACTGGGACTAGAACCCAGTGTGCTGGCACCGCAAGGTGGAGGATTAGGCTATTGAGCCACGGCGCCGGCCAATCCTATTATTTTTAAGTGTTACAGTAATATAATGTGAATTTCTAGTTTCAAAAAAGAGCAGGTGCTGAACAAAGAACACCTCATTCTGTTTTAGGTCCTTCAGAATACGGTGCATTGCACAGATCTGAGCAACCCCACACAGGTCTCTCCAGTTGCACTGCCAGTAGACTGACCAACTCCTGGAGGTCTTCTTTCTCATGGAGACCAAGAAAGGGAGCATGGCACAGAAATAAGCTCCATGTGTGACAAGCATAACACAGTTCAGGATCAGGTGACCCTATAACCTGGTGTCTGGTGGAAGCTCATCTCAGCAGGTGAAGAGGAATGATCACAAGTTGGGCCAGCAGGTAGAGAACAGAATTACTATTTTTATTATCCATCTTCATGGTGTGTACCAGGAAAGCTTTTGGGGAGAGGGAAACTTTATTAGAAATCTCTAGCACATTTTCTGACATTATTTTGAAAAATGTCAGTGAGTTACCTACAAAGAGCAATATGCCCCCACTGTGTCCTGAGTGACCGGTGAGGTGACTTTGAAGTAGGGTTTGTCAGTATGTGGAGCTACAGAGCACCAAGCTATTTGATCATTATTACTACCATCTGAAATATTTTTCACACTTTCAATTCTCCACAAAGCACAGGGGAAAAATACAATTAAAAACACCCTTTGAGGCGAGTCCCAGTTAGATTTCTCTCTGACTTTTCACCTCTATTGCCTATAATTGATAACTAGAAGTGAAGAATAAAAGCATAAGAAAAGAAGATCCAGGTTCTATGACTGGTTCTTTGATCAACTTTCTGAGATCACTGAGTGTCATGGTCAATTTTATGGCCAAACATTATTTCTGGGTGTGTCAGTGAAGGTGCTTCTGGAAGAGATTGGTTTTCAAATCAGCACATCGAGTAAAGAAGATCCCTTCTCACCAATGTGGACAGGAATCCTTCAATTTGTTGAGGGTCCACTCAAGCAGAGCAAGAAAGTGGAACAAGTGTGCATCTGCTCTCTTCTGCTGAGCTGGGATGCTCGCCCTCTGCTGCCCTGAGATATTTAAGCTCTTGGTTCTGGGGCCTTCAGGCTCCAGGACTAACACTACTGGCTCCCCTGATCTCTACCCATTGGACTTGAACTGAGTGGCACGAATGGCTTTCCTGGTTTCCAGATTGCAGGCAGTGCATTGTGGGACTTCTCAGCCTCCATAATCATGAGCTAGTTCCCATACTGAATCTGCTCTTGTGCGTGTGTGCATGTAAATAACTGGGACTGTTTCTCTGGATAACCCTGACTCACATAGTGGGCAAGTCTCTCAATCACTATAGATCTATTTTGGGCTTCAGTGATAAAGTTGTTTTCAAAGAATAACAACAGGATGCATACAATCCAACCTAACCTCTGTACAGACTGTGCTCCTTGGAAGTTATTACAAATGATTAGTTTTCCTCCCCTGATAGTCTTTCCATAGTGCCTTCAGTTTTTTTGGAGAAAAGGTGTAAAAACCAAATGGAAAATTAAACAATTGGTTTACTAAATCCATCTTCAATTTTATCATTTTCTAGTTTTCATAATAGAGTTCCTTTGAAAGAAAAAACGAAAGAGCCTTGGAAGAAATATGCCCAAACACACTCTGACTAGAGATATTCCATTCCAGGAAAAGGTCCAAAAGGCAAAATGTGTCTTCCTCTGAGCAAAGCTAGATCCAAGAATCACATGTGTATTCTGTATAAATCAGTCACGATCATGATTCTTATTGGTAAAGCTCACAAGAAATTTCTCTTACAAAAATCAATTTTGCTAACAGGTCCTGGTGTGTCAGACGAGATTATCACTTTAATTTTCAGGTGTAGGTCATGGAAGTGCAGAGAAACTAGGTTTTTGGGTGATGTTATTATATAGAGAGACTGAGTAGAAGAAGAGACAAGAAGCTTCTATTTGCTGGGGATATCCTATTTGCAGGGCCTCAACACTGTTGTAGTCTGGCAGAACATATTTTAGTGTCTCTGCAACAAACATAGAAAAGAGAACTTGGGAACCACCTTGGGGATTTTGTAGGGGAAAATGTGACCATGTTTGGCTGAATCCAGATTTAAAACAGGCATCTATTGGCAGAGTTGCTGATAAAAACAAAATCAGTAGTTTAGGTCTTATATTTCCAATACCCAACTTCAAAATCAGAATGTCTGGAATCTCAAAAATGCTGCTTCTTGATTTTGTCCTGATGGAAAATGCACTTCTCTTAGGAATAAGGAGTAAAAGGTTTTACTCTTGAATTTGTATATTACTTACTGAGTGATAGTGTATAAGCTAACTATATTATCTGAGGCTTACTTTCATTCTGTGTGAAATGGCAGGTTGCCCTCCTATATATTTCACAGGTCTTTGCTGAGACTAAGATGAATGCAAGAAGTGCTTTTAAAGGACATAATTCAGGGTCTTGAGCTCTTGTATAATAAATAAACCAAGTTGAAATAATGCAGCCTTCTTTGAAGAAGATCATATTTTATGGCTCTCAATTAAAAAAACATAGGGAATGAAATTAGTAAATAAAAGAGATATCTGCACCCCTATGTTTACTGCAGCTCAATTCACAATAGCTAAGACATGTAATCAACCTAAATGCTCATCAACCAAAGACCAGATAACAAAATTATGGGATATGTACATTATAGAATACTACACAGTGATAAAAAAAAGTGAAATCCAGCCATTTGCAACAAAATGGATGAATCCAGAAAACATCATACTTAGTGAAAAATAACCTGTCCCAAAGGGAAAAATACCATATGTTCTCCCTGATCTGTGACAACTAACAGAGCACCAAAAAGGAAATCTGTAGAAGTGAAATTGACACTTTTGAGAAACAATGGCTTGAACAGCCCTTGTCTTGACTGTGGAGGAATAGTTCTTTTTTCTTCATACTATTTGTTGAACTCTTAACTTGAGTTAATCATATGTGTATAAAGTCAACTGAAAATAGACCTCAGTAAAAAATAAAAGTGGAAATAAGAGAGGTAGGAGGAAGTTTGTAACTGTAAAGCTGTACAGTTCTGCATACATTCTTATGGACTTACTTCTAAGGGTATAGTTTAAAAACTTGCCATGGGTCCCCAAATATCATTAAGCTGGGTGGTAAAAATGCCATCTTAACTGTTAAAGTGATCATATTAAGTGTTAAAGTGAACATATAGAAAGGATTAAGTGTTAAAGTGATCATATAAATGGGATCAAGTGTTTGGTAATAATAATAGAATTAAAAAGGAGAATGTTCCAGCATGGAAAGCAGTCCACACAACAGACTCATAGAATGACAATCACTTTAAGTAACACTCTGAGCTCAGAATCAGCCCTTAAGGCATTCTAGTCTGGCTGAAAAACCCATGTGAGCCTTTCAGGCATGAAAACCAAGACACTATGGCAAAAAATGTTCTACATGAAGGATCTCTGTGAGGGAGACCCCAGTGGAAAGAACTGGCCATCAAAGAAGGATGTACTTTTCTTTCTTTTTTTTTTATATATATAAAAGATCTATTTATTTATTTGAAAGGCAGAGTTACAGAGAGGCAGAAAGAGAGAAAGGCAGAGAGAGAGAGAGAGAAAGAGGTCTTCCATCCACTGGTTCACTCCCCAAATGGCCACAATGGTCAGAGATGTACTCATCCCAAGCCAGGAACTAGGAGCTTCCTTTGGGTCTCCCATGAAGGTGCAGGGCCCAAGGACTTGGACCATCTTCTACTGCTTTCCCAGGCCACAGTAGAGAGCTGGATCAGAAGTGGAGCAGCCAAGACTCAAACTGCTGGCACTGCAGGCAGTAGCCACACCTGCTACAACACAGTGCCAGCCCTGGATATACTTTTCTTTGAAGGGAGGAGAGAACTTCCATCTTGCTTATGGTCTTGTCTAAATACAGGCATTTGTGGATTCAAAAGGCTTCCATAGCCTAGGCAGCTCATGTTAAGAGCCTTGGGTTGTCACTGACATCATACATAAGAGTGTTAATAAATTAACAACAGGAGTCATTGTGCACTAACTCACCATGCAGGACCTCTGACCTCAATGGGTTGTATTATGAGAGTAAACTGTAAAACTTGTTCTCAGTTTTTGTGTGTGTGTATGTGCAAACTGTTGAAATTTTTACTTAGTATAGAGTTGGCCTTCTGTGTATAAAGTTAATTGAAAATGAATCTTAATGGAGAATGGGACTGGGAATGGGAGGGAGAGGAGAAGGAGTGGGAGTGTGGGTGGGAAGGTAGGTATGGTGGAAAGAATCACTATATTCCTAAAGTTGTACTTATGAAATTTGTATTCCTTAAATAAAAGGTTTCTTTGGGGAAAACAAAAACAAGTGAACAAACAAAAACAAATAGGGGCTAGTGCTGTGGTGTAGTGGGTAAGGCCAATGCCTGTGACATTAGCATTCCATATGGGTGCTGGTTTGGGACCTGGCTGCTCCACTTCTGATCCAGCTCCCTGCTAATGCACCTGGGAAAGCAAGATGGCCCAAGTTCTTGGGTTCTTGCACCCACATGGGAGACCTGGACGAAGCTCCTGGCTCCTGGCTCCTGACTTCGGACTGGCTCAGCTCCAGCTACTGCAGCCATTTGAGGAGTGAACCAGTGGATGGAAGACCTCTCTGTCTCTACCTCTCTCTGTAACTCTTTCAAGTAAATAAAAAACATCTTTAAAAATAAATAAATATCCACAAAAACAAACAAATATCCGTTGGAACAGTTGGTGTGGTTTCCTAGAAAGCAAGAAGTGTAAATATAGGCACTATCTCATTAACAAAAGAGCTCTAATAATCAACTTATTTTTAAGAGATCTAAGAACAAAGAGGATCAAATGGCACTTCAAGAATTAAAGTGTATTACTGCCATGTATTGCTTTTTAAAATGGCTGGCATAGACAAAGCACCTGCTACAATAAGTACTCCAGAGTGAAGCACATATGATATCCCATTTCCCAAATTGCTGCTCACCTCAATCACAAAACTTCAGTCCAAGGAGTGGGCTTCATAATTGGGGGTTCAGACACAGCTAATTTTTTTCCCAGTCACTTCATTTTTTTATGGGATTTGGAACACTGCTCCATTGAAAAGCTAAAGAGCATTATTCATCAAATGAGGCCAATCATCATTTTTCCAAATGATATGTCCCCAAATAATCTTTCATTTTGCTTGGGGGACAGCTGTCTTTATTGGAGTGCAGAGACTGCAAGATACAAAAGTTTTCTTGTGATTACCTGAAACTTATTACAGAAATCCCACCAATTTCTTCACCTCCTGGAACACAGGATACGCTAATTCTTTGGCTTTTTCTGACCCAACTCGCAGCACCTTCTCTAAATGGCCTTTGTCCATCTTCAGTTTTTCAATTTCACTCTTAATTGGAGCAAATTTCTCTATCACAGCATCTGCCACCACCAGCTTGTAGTGGGCAGTGTCCAAGCCCTTGCTGAGACGGACCACTTCCTCCACGCTGAGGCCGGTCACTGCGGCGTGGATGGCCACCAGGTTGGACACACCTCCTCGGCTGGCTGGATCGTAGGTGACCTCCGAGGTGAAGTCTGTCACAGCTTTGCGGAATTTCTGCACTATCTCCTCTGGGCTGTCTGTTATTCGGACAGTGGCCAGTTTGTCAGGGTCTGACTTGGACATTTTGGCAGAAGGATCACGGAGAGATTTTACCTTCTTCATCGACGCTGGGTGAAAACACCAATACACACACACACACATACCAAAAACAAAAACAAGCAAATCACCAGGAATGTCATTGTTTAGATCTAAAACACGCCAAGCATAACAAATATAACAAATGACTATACTTTTTTCCTTCTTATTCCAAAAGCAAATACTGGGGCAAATGTTTGGCACAGCATTTAAGCTGCTGCTTGCGAAACGTGCATCTTGTATGAGTACCTGAGTCAAGGCTTGGCTACTCTGCTTCTGATCCACCTTCCTACGAATGCACACCCTGGGAGGCAGCAAGAGATGGTTCAAGTATTTGGAACCCTGCCACCTATGAGGGAGACTCAGATGGAGTACTGGGCTCCTGGCTTCATTCTGGCCCAGGCCCAGCAACTGCAGGCATTTGGGGCATGAACCAGAGGATGGAAGATCTCTCTCTGTTTGCCTTCTTGTCTTTCAAATTAAAAAAAAAAAAGAATAAAAATTTAAAAGATACATAATAAAAATACATAGTTTCAAAGAGCAAATACTCATTGCCAAAAATGCAAGCAGCTTATACAAGCATGAATGAAAATAAAGATCATCTGGAGTATGTGGTATTACTGTTAACAGTTTGCTCGTATATTCAGGAAGCTTTTAATGCATTAACCACATCAAAATATATACTCTTACACATATAAAATTAAATCATTCTGATTTTGTTGTGCACACTTGTACAAAAGGTTTATTTCTGTCCTCTTCTTGTGAATTTTCTGTCTGCTCCCCACTACTAATCAGCACCTGACCACACTACTGCCTGTCCTCCCTCCAAACAATTCTAACAACTTGCAACAATCCTTCCATTTCTTTACTGAAGATGAAATAAGTACATGCCAAAACACATACATGTACGTGCATGAGAAATGACTTGTTTATCGCTCTATTAGAATCAAAATGTTAAGCTGTGCTTCATAAAGCAGTGCCATTAACAATTACTTATGTTATGGCCATTACAGAAGAATAAATGTTGAAATATGTAAAGTAATAGGCCAAGACATTAAAATATTACTTACTACTAAATTAAGATTGATTTCAATGTCTGGTTGTCTTGAATCTATTTGTGTGAACTGTTGGCATAAAAGAGATTTATACATCTTATGTTTCCAAACTGATACTAGGCACATGCTATACTCTTTTACAATGCTGTCAGCTTAATAAGGATGGACAGCACTAGGTCCCACAACCTCTACCCCTACCACAAGTTTACACTGCTGTCAAAATGTTGATAGAGAGGGGCCAGCGCTGTGGTATAGCAGGTAAATCCACTGCTGTAAATCCATCCACTGTGGATTCTGCAGTGTCAGCATCCCATATGGGCACTGGTTTGAGTCCCAGATGCTCCAGTTCTGATCCAGCTCTCTGCTATAGCCTGGGAAAGCAGCAGACGGCCCAAGTCCTTGAGCCCCTGAATCCATATGGGAAGAAGTTCCTAGCTCCTGGCCTCAGACTGGTCTGGCTTCAGACTGGTCCTGCTTCAGACCTGTCCAGCTTTGGCCATTGCAGCCATTTGCGGAGTGAACCAACAGAGAGATAGCTAGCTATCCTTGCTTCTGCCTCTGTAACTCTGCCTTTCAAATAAATAAACTTTAAAAAAATGTTGATAGATATTTAAAGTTTCTTTTGTCTAGAAGATTCAGTACTTATTACAGCCTTGAAGGACAAGTTCGCCATTTCAGATTCAGTAGTGGACTATACATTTCATCTTGGTTGTCTATTTAAGAAGATGGAGGACAAGGATTATTAATTCTCTCTGGTTTATTTAGAGTATGATTCAGTAGTTTCTTTCTCATGACTTTTGTTCTGCTGCAAATATTTGGGAAGGCAAAGGTACTCTTGCTTTGGAACCTGAAGAGCTCAGTGTAGCATCCAGCGCTGCCACTATATTCACACATGACCTGAACAAAAAGTAGCCTTGCCCAGCATTAGTTCTCTCATTTCTAAAACATGGAAGGGTATGTGCCCAGGGCCAGTGCTGTGGTGCAGTAGGTTAAGCCACCACTTACTACACCAGCATCCACTAATGGAGGATAGGTTCAAGTCCCAGCTGCTCTGCTTCTGATCCAGCTCCCTGCTAGTAAGTGTGGGAAGGCAGTGGAAGATGGTCCAAGTGGTTGGGTCCCTGCTGCCATGTGGGAGACCTGGATTCAGTTCCTGACCCAGCCCTGCCTGTTGCAAGCATCTGGGATGAACCAGTGGATAATGTGTGTATGTCTGTGTGTCCCTCTCTCTCCATCTTTCTGCCACTCTGTCTTTATAACAAATAAATCTTTTTTTTAAAAAAGATATCTGTTCAACCAAATGGGAGGTATTACTTATACAACTATATATAATATTTTATACAGAAAATTATTTTTAAGTTTTAGTCATCCCATATTTCTCAATTTTAGTTATCTTTTTTCAATAGTCCAATACAATCTATTTGTTCTACATTATAGAAAACTATTAAAGTTCTAATTACAAATCATGAAGCCTGTCTACGAGAAAGCCAAGTTTAATTTCAAGAAAATTTCAAGCCTCCATCTATTATCCAATTCTCTCTTTAAAATATGCTTTGATTTAATAGTCATACATTCATTACTTACTTAGAATGGACGTGGGCACTGGAAAGAACTCCCCATACTTCTTGTTGAAACCTTGTGCTAGGTCCTGAACTAGTTCCATGTGCTGGACTTGATCCTCCCCGACAGGAACGTGTGTGGACCTTTAATAAAAGACAGAGAGCAAAACTCAGCAAGGCTCCTTCTTGGAAGGAAATGATATTGCAAGCAGCTGCATTTCCTGTGCCTATTTCACTGTTGGTGTTCAACAAATGTTCACCAACTACAGAGGGAATGTTGAGACCCAAGTCTTTATCTGTGCATCAAATGCCAACGAGACGTTTGTCTACCCTAGTTCTGTTTCTTCCACAGCAGAGGAATACAGCCATCAACACCAGCCTGACAGGGCCTTGCTGCGAGGGAGGAAGGGGATCTGAAACAGCATATGCTCTCAGCATAATTGTACTTTAAAAACACTCCTCATTCCTTCACCCAGTCAGAACACATTATCCAAGCCTGGGCCAGATGCTTCTTACCTCGGAGCTGTGGCTCGCACTTGAAAGACTCCTCACCCTATTCTTTAAATCAAAGATGGCAGAAAGCACACCAGGCAGGAGTTTTCCCTTGCAGTCACACCAGAAATAATGCAAGACCTTTTGGGGAATATGCACTCTCATTTCCAAGTAAACTGCAATCACAGGACAATTAATGTGCTATAGGGCACAGAGATGAATAAAATCTATAGGGACAATGTAGACAGATCTCAAAAGCAATGTGGAGTGGACAAAGTTACAGAAAACGTGCAAAGCACGATGACGTTTATACATGCCTTCAAAGTACACAGCAAAATATTACATTTTAAAAGATTTATTTATTTGAAAGGCAGAGTTAGAGAGAGAGACAGAGAAAGAGAGAGAGGGAGAGACAGAGAGAATCTTCCATTCACTGGCTTACTCTCCAAATGGCCAGAACAGCTAGGGCTGGGCCAGGCTGAAGCCAGGAGCCTGGAATTCATCTCAGTCTTCCCTACCTGGGTGGCAGGGGCCCAAGCATTTGGACCATCTTCCACTGCTTCTCCAGGCACATTAGCAGCAAGCTAGATCAGAAGTGCAACAGCCAGGACTCGAACAAGTATTGAGATATAGGATGCCAGTGTCACAGGTGATAGTCCAATCTGCTTTGCCACAACACTGGCCCTAGCCATCTGTATTTTATATGTACATAAACATACACATATCCATTAATATCCAACAAGATCAAGAACAAGGGGCAGGCAATGTGGTGCAGTGAGGTAAGAGGGCTACTTGCAGTGTCTGGACTCCATAATGGAATACCAGTTCAAGTCCTGCCTACTCTGCTTTTCATCTGGCTTTCTAGTAATGTGCCTGGGAAGCAGCAGATGATGGCCAAGTACTTGGGTTCCTACCATTCACATGGGAGACAAGGATGAAGTTGCTGGCTCTTGGCCCAGCCCCAGCTGTTGTAGCCATTTGGGGAGTGAACCAGTGGATGGAAGATTTCCATCTGTCCCTCTGCCTTTCAAATAAATAAATAATTTTTTTAAAAAGATGAAGGATAAGATAGTAAAAGAAAGATACTAACTACAAAAGACCTTGGTGTAGGGTACACTATGACTTTTCTCAAACAGGATCATTTTCCTTTTTTTTTTTTTAATTTTTTATTTATTTTTTTGACAGGCAGAGTGGACAGTGAGAGAGAGAGACAGAGACAGAGATAAAGGTCTTCCTTTGCCGTTGGTTCACCCTCCAATGGCCACCGCAGCCGGCGCGCTGCGGCCGGCACACCGCGCTGATCCGATGGCAGGAGCCAGGTACTTATCCTGGTCTTCCATGGGGTGCAGGGCCCAAGTACTTGGGCCATCCTCCACTGCACTCCCGGGCCACAGCAGAGAGCTGGCCTGGAAGAGGGACAACCGGGACAGAATCCGGCGCCCTGACCGGGACTAGAACCTGATGTGCCGGCGCCGCAAGGTGGAGGATTAGCCTAGTGAGCCGCGGCGCCGGCTCATTTTCCTTTTTGATAGTTAATTCAGACACCAATATCAACGCATACTGCTAGAGATAGTCACACAACTGGGCAGCAACCCTGCTATGGGTAGAAACTGTATTTGAAATGGATAGTTCACATACCTGATCATGTAATCCTGAAATATAAATGGCTCAGTACAGGAATGCTGAGAACTATTTTAATTGAAAGAAAATAGGGACAGAACAATGACTGGAACAGCAAAATGCAGGGACATGGCAGTGGACCAGGGAGTGGTTTCTCTCCTGTCAAGGCAGTAAATGGATGTAGGAAATTCTACAAAAGGACCCTTAGGGCCACATCCATTGCTGTCTTCTACATGGTATGGAGCAGAGAGCACTGGCTCCCTGAGTGGTAACAACACAAGATGCTCTTTGCTGTGCATCCCTCAGAGCCCTGCATGGTGCTCTCACTTTCCATGCACTCGGCTCACCCTTGCAAATTCTTCTTCTTTGGCTGGACTTTGCTACTCTCGTCTGGTAATTACTGCGGGGCTGACACACACAGGTCACCTTGACTCCCCAAACCAAATTAGCCAACAGAGCAGGTTAGAAAGCAATTACAGTAGCCCATAGGAAATCACAATGGACTGCAACTAACACAGAAAAAACAATTACCATAATCAATACACTTTAAGCACATCAAAATGAACATTTCCACATGTCAAAATGGTTCCAGATTCCCAAAGCAACCAAACTAAACAGAAAACACATTTAGTTTTCATAATGACGCTGCATGCGTCTTTGCCTAATGTCAGATCCTTGCCTCTTTTTCTTCCAATTCTATGGGGCTTTGCTTTTTTAAAAAAGGATTAAAAAAATATCTTAATTTTTTTCACCTGGTCCCACTGCTCCATTTGGCATTTTCATCTGATTTTAGTTTGTTTGTTTCTAGTCTTCTCTCACCTCCCATAATTTATCTCGGCCTTTACTTCCCATCCGTTGAGTTTACACTTCACATTAATTCAGCCTGTCTTTGATTCTACTCACTTATGGGGCTTACGCTCTTCACATTTCCAAGCTCTCTCCTCATAGGCTTCCTTTCCCTTCAAATAATTTAGTGCTGTGCTTTTAAAATTTATACCCCACATAATGATATCCATATTAATGTCTACTCTTTCTCTCCATTTTCGTTTTTTTTTTCTTGCCCTGACTGTGCCTTCTTAGACACAACATAAAACAAAAGTCTTTCATAATTTTGATTGTTATAACTTCTGTCACATAATAATGCGTCTGATCTTCTTCTCTGGTGACTAAACCATTTTTCTTTTGCTTGGTTCCTTATTGCCTCTGCGTTTACTCGGGATCCACCCCACCCCTCTAGCAGAATTAGTGTCCAGATGAATAATCTTCGCCTGCATGTATCTGCTCACAGATTGGTTCTCGCTCTCTCCTTTCTTCTACTCCTTTGGCTGTGTTTGTGAGGGTTTAGTGCTGCTACTTTAAACAGCCTTGCTGGCACAGGAATTTGGTGGTGGTTCTCCTGTCAAAAAGGATAAATTCCCCATCGCGGGTGGCTTGCTGGGGATTCTAGAATGACTTTCCAATTCAGCGGTTATTTACCCAAGACCCACGATGTGAAAGGGCCAGTGCCAGGTGCTGTGAGAGACAGAATAACCACTGGCCTGCACAAGGTATACGGCCCCAGGAGGAGAGGTAAATGGAATAAAGGTATACATTCTGCCGGCTGGGCGTGTCTCAGTTATCGCCCGTCTCAGTGAATGCACCACCACCAGTCCAGGGGTGTGAGAATCGTGGGGGCACAGAAGTGAGTCACCCAGTGTGAGGATCCGACTGCTGCTTCTGAGGACATGAGAGACACCCTCGCAGGGAGCCTGCCTTGCTCTCACTCACAGCCAGTCCTTTGTGAAGCCACACCTGCTTCACCTCCTAAATATCTCCTTCATTTGCCCACTTCTCTTCATCTTTACTGTCAGCATCAAGGCCCAAACTAGCATCATGGGACAGTCTCAAATAGACTGCCCCAGCTACTCCTCCAGCTCAGTCTTTATGTTTGAATCAGTGCTCATTTGAAAGGATAAGTCACATCAAATGCACTCTGTCCTTCTCACTGTGTTTTCGACAGTTCTGGATTTTTTGATGGCATCTCAGCACAATTCTCTCCCTTCTGCGCTGTCTCTTGATTTTTAGGGACCAGAAGCCTGGACACTACACTTCTCAGGCTTCCCTTTCCCAGTGGCTGGAAGGAAGAAAGCAAAAGAAGAGAAATAACTGCTCAGACGGTGGTAGGTAAATATTAGCAGAATGTACAAATGAGGTTTGACCAGCTCCTAACAGTCTCATAAAAAATCCAGCACTGACTGGCCCCATGGAGAGTGGCAGTCTCCAAAGCAGCCTTAGAACTCTCAACTCCTAACACAGCTCCCAAGACGCTTCTTCCAAGGGCCCTCAGTGCAGTGCTCTGCTCCTCACTTCCTTTCTGAGACTTCTCACCAATCACCTGACTTTCTGCTCATTTTGTTCTTTTCCTTTGGCTTGGTGTCTGCATACTCAGTTTTCTGAGGTTTCTGTCTCTTCATTTTATATGTCCTTCCAGTTTCTGTTTTCTCTGTCTTCTTCTCATCTGTCCACAATTCTCTGATTAGCCCTGGTGGTCACTCTTATCTCTATCGGAATACTCTCAGCAGCACTGCTTGGAAAGCTCATTGCTTTGTCTGGAGAATGGAAACAACACTGCCCACCTATCACAAGCAGATGATGCCTGTGCAGTACCTTCCACGATGCCTGGGCAGTAACACTCGATTCATGTTAACTCCTTCCTTCCCTTTCCCTCAGGGCCACACAGTGTGTCTTTTTCTGGACCAATGAAATTATAGGTACTTAAGAAGTATTTGCTATTAATAAAAACTGTATGTGTGTGCGTGTGCATGTGTGTGTCACTATAGATGCTAATATATCCACAATGGTGAGGAAGAGGGAAAATAATTTAGTGTCTGTTCTTTCTTTTTTTTTTTTTTTTTTTTTTGACAGGCAGAGTGGACAGTGAGAGAGAGAGACAGAGAGAAAGGTCTTCCTTTGCCGTTGGTTCACTCTCCAATGGCCGCCGCGGCCAGCGCTCTGCAGCCAGTGCACCACGCTGATCCGATGGCAGGAGCCAGGTACTTCTCCTGGTCTCCTATGGGGTGCAGGGCCCAAGCACTTGGGCCATCCTCCACTGCACTCCCTGGCCACAGCAGAGAGCTGGCCTGGAAGAGGGGCAACCGGGACAGAATCCGGCGCCCCGACCGGGACTAGAACCCGGTGTGCCGGCGCCGCTAGGTGAAGGATTAGCCTAGTGAGCCGCGGTGCCGGCCTTGTCTGTTCTTTCTTAAACATATCTGCTATTTATCATCCTTTCAAGTTAAGATAGTCTCAGTCCTCTATTCCTGGGTTCCTTATCAAGCTCTGCCAAAACAAGTACTTAAATCTTTATAGACTTATCTGGAAGGCTCCTCTTCCCATTCTTGACCCTTGTGTTTATTCTCTGGCCCACCTATAATTGACTTGAGTCAACCTTTTTTGGGGAGGCCAGAGGCTTGCTGGTAGTTTTTGAAAAAACACAAATGTTTTACCCATCCCTCAGTATACCCACCTAAATAACCATATGAAACATATATTCAGAGACATTTTGGCTATAAACTTTTTCAAAATCTAGAAATATCTAAAACCAAATAAACCAATACCAAGAAATACTCCCAAGTTCTTGATCTCTATTACAGGGAAAACCATAGTATAGGCTAAAACATCAGACTGGGCTTGAGTCCTGCCTGCTACTTATTATCAAGCAATTTTTAAGGAATTTTTAAATTTGAAAGGAAGGCTATTAAGACAAGAAGAAATATACCTTGGCAGGGTGAGTGCTCTGTAAACCAAGCCGACTTTATTTTAGCTGTCTGAATGTTTTGTAGGCCCTGGCTAGCTCTACGGAGTGAAGAGCTCGCCATCCTCTGTGGTGTACTTTTGAGGCCCTTAAGAGACAGCAGTGGCTGAACGAATGGCTCACCGGTGCAGGAAAGGGGAGGGCACCCTGTAAATTAACTCTATAGTCTAATATAGTAGCCACAAGTGGCCACTTAAGTTTAATGTAATTAGAATTTAACATAAAATTCAGTTTCTGTCTCACTAGTGACATTCCAAATGTTCAACAGCTGCTGTGGCTGGTGGCTACAATATCAGAAAATGTGGCTACAGAACATTTCCATAATCATGGCAAGTTCTATTAGATAGTCTTGTGTCATTGAGTCTGGATAACATAAAAAATCCATATTTTAACTCCTGAAATTTAACTCTTTTTTTCTTTCAGATTTTATTTATCTATTTGAGAGGCAGAGTTACAGAGAGAGAGGAAGACAGAGAGAAAGGCCCTCCATCCACTGGTTCATTCCCCAAATGGCTGCAACAGTGGGAGCTGGGCCAACCCTATCCCAGGAGTCAGGAGCTTCTTCTGGGTTCCCCACAGAGGTGCAGGGGTTCAAGCACTTGGGCCATCCTCCACTGCTTTCCCAGGCCACAGCAGAGAGCTGGATCAGGAGAAGAGTAGCCGGGACATGAACCAGCGCCCATATGGAATGCCAGCACCACAGGTGGATGCTTAGCCCACAGTACAGGCCCTCGAAGAAATTTAATTCTTACTGGGGAAATATATATGTATATATAGAGAGACTGTATCTAAACTTCCTGGATTTGGCTCCTGGCACCAAGCATTGCTAGCTTTCACGATTTTGGGTACACTAAATGACTATTCTGAGTCTCACCTTCCCTGTCTGTAAGATGAGATGATCACAGTGCCAGTTTAATAAGGTCTGGTGAGGACTGACGTGTATATAGCACTTACAACACTTTCCAGTACATATCCAGTGTTACTTAGGTGTTAACACTGTAGTACTAGTTTCTCATGGACACATACTTCTATCATTTAGTCCCTACTACTGGGGGATACAAATGGATTCATGTGTCTTAGTCTTTCTGTGTCCCTTCCCCAATAACCAAGTTTCTGCCTGATTGATAGGTTATGACACCCTCCTGTCATCACAGGTATTCACGAGACCAGGGTGGGCTCGCTCCTTACTTATACAGCAGAACGTCGGCTGCCTGGAGTACTGGGTATGTTAGCAGGCCCATGGTTCCATCGTGCTTCTGCTTGCCCGCCTTCGCCTGTAGGGGTGAAAAGAGAGGAGGGGGAAGAATCTGACTTGAGCTGAATGATATTGCTCAATTAAGAAAATTTCAAAGCAGGCCAAGTGTGATCTGAAGCCACCTGTGGTAACACCACACCTTGGTTCCTTTCAGGAACTCCAGCTCTCATCTGCCTGCTTGCTGTCATGCTCCAGGGTTAGGCAGAAACGAGAAGAGTCCAGTTCACCTGTGCCTCTTTAAAGGATCTGGCATTGCCACTATTTCGTCTTCATTTTCTTAAAGCAAGGGCATAGGGGTTTTCTAGGTTCCAAATCAGATGAACTACAGATTTCACAGACATGGTCAGAAACTGTCATGCAATTAAATTTCTACATAGCAACGTGAGTTAACATCAAAAGCCCTGTTGTTCAGCAGTGGAAACCTCCTAGAACATCATGAGCCATGGTACTGACCAAACTGTAATGTTTCCTTAAAATCACATTCAAGAAAACCAAAAAACAAAAACCATAACATTTAAAAAATGTACCTAACACATGTTAATCCAACCAATCCTGATTATTTGTCTTGACCTTCCAGTTATTAAAATGTGAAAGCATTAAGGATAAAGCAATTTCCAGCAAGAGTACAGGTTGTATAGACCAACATCATTTCCTTTTAAAAATTTATTTATTTATTTTATTTGAAAGGTAGAAGCATAGAGACAGAGAGAGGCAGAGATATAGATAGATAGATAGATAGATAGATAGATAGATAGATAGATAGATTTCCCATCTACTGGTTCAGTCCCCAAAAGCCCTCAATAGCTGTGGCTGGGTCAGGTTGAGGCTGGGAGCTGGGAAATCTCGCATGTGGGTGGCAGGGACTTAACTACTCGAGCCACCATTGCCTCCTCCCAGACTACACATTAGCAAGAAGCTGAAATGGGGGGCAGAGCTGGAACCCAAGCTCAAGCACTCTCATGGATGTGGGTGTCCCAAGCAGCATCTTCACCAGTGTATCACATGCCTCCCCACCCCCTAAATAATTTTTTATTGGAGAAGTTGATGGAAACACCAGAGGTGATATTAGAAATATTGATGAACTGGTGAGCAATATGAGTTGACTATAAACTACTAGTGTGGTCACTAACATGAACCCTAATAATATGAACTTCTTACTGCAGTTGAACATTGCTAGCTTGTAATTTGGCTTTCTGAGTAGAGTTACTTATTAGAAGGGAATATTATATGCAGTTCCAAAGCCTAGGTATCCCATCTCTTGAAAAATAATAAGCAGATATTTTAGTGTATGGACAAATCTTACTCAGTCAATGTGAATCCACTTCTCTCAAGTCCAATTATTTCAGCATGGACCAACTGAACTGCATATTTGTGTGATTCTGAGGACCAAGTTCATTGGTCCATAAATCAGTCTTCTTCCACCAGTGTGCACTCACACCCTTTAAGGATGTATCTGAAAAGGCAAAAGCTTCTGGCTTTAACCATCTTAATTTCAATGTTCCATAATTTAGTCACAAACTTAAATTTTCTGGTTATATCTCAAGTAGTTTCTGACTTACAGCAACTAATTCTATAGGCCATTCAAAGGAAATTTGGAAGCTTGAACATATAACTGCTTCAATACATCCCCTGATTGCAGTGTCCATGATAAAGGCTAATTCTCGGTTCACACTGGGTAAAGACAGTGAAAACTTAATTTGGATATAAGCAAATGGAAACAGAACCAAGTTTTAAAATTTGCTACTGCATTAGATTTACAGACTTTTTATATTAGCATGCTGGACCTTGAAATTATGAGGGAAGAGGGGAGATATGGAGGACATTAATATTTATTGAGTGCCTATTTTGTGCCTCAGATGCCTTACATATCTGTTATTCATTATCCTCCCAGCAACCCTGGCCCCGTCCTTCCAATTCACTGTTCTACCCCTCACTGTCCCAATAAAAATCTTGCTAGGTGGTCTTATCAGATTCTTCTATAGCTCTGGAATTCTGCCCTCGGAGCACTTTGCACACTTTCTCATGACTTTTTAGAATGTCTCTCCCCAAGCAGACCACAGCCTCAAGAAGGGGCTGTTGATCACTGTCTCTTCAGCACCCAGTATGACACAAGCTCACAGACGCAGCACTAGTATGTGTTGCTTCAAGAATGACTGGAGGAAGCAATCACATGCCCTAAGATAGGACTGGGATTTGAAGTCCCTGCTTTTCCCACAAAGAAGAAATTGTGGAGCAGTGGAAAGGCTTCTCCAGAATAATCATTGTGTTTGCTAATACTGTGCTATCAGGAAGACCTTCCATGCTGTTTTAAAGTGGGAACAGTTCCCTTGATATTAGTATTCAGTTCCTATAAACACGAATTTACAGCATTAAATTAAATGGCAGAGGTAATCTGATAAAATGTGAAAGTCTTGCCTAAAACAAAAAAATATGGTAGAGAATATTACAAATTTTTGTTTCTAATTTCAGGCAGGTAATGAATCCTTAGCATTACCAATGATGTTTTATTTATCTAATGTTGGTTTGTCTGAGCTCCCATAACAAACCATCACAGCCTGGGTGGTTTATAAACAGCAAAATCTCTTTCTCACATTTCTGGAAGCTAGGAAGTCTACAGTTAGGACAAAGTTCAGGGTCTAGTTAGGTCACTCTTCTTGCTTCATCAACTGCACCTTCTAGCTGTGTCTGGGAGTTCTCTTGGGTCTCTTACACAAAGGCTCTAGTCCCATCCATGTGGGTGCAACCCTTGTGATTTAATCAGGAAAGCCCCTGCCTCCTCATCCCAGAACAGCAATTTTGCTGGGTCACCCGGATTCAGAACACAGCATTTGGGCACTGCCAGTTTAAAGCTCTATTTCTTTCTGCTCCACGTGAAGGCTTCTGAAGACCAAATTCCGTGGAAACCAATGGCCCTGAAAATATGCTTGAAAGAAGCCCGAAACTGAATTAGTGTTGACATAGTTTGGGGCCATCTACCCTTGGGTTATCCAATTGCAAAAATAAATGGAAGTAAAGTACTATGAATTATCCAATTTATCTTTCTCAGCTCAATTTCTTAGAGAAAGTACAGTTTTAATTTTTCTGTGGGTTTGAACTGCTGCCTGGACTGAACTTGTTTAAATGTTAAATAAAATGTTGTCTCTTCTCCCCACAATGAAAATGTTCTTTCCTTACTGCCAGCTAATTCCAACTGGGATGGGAGGCAGCTGCAAGGCCCAGTAAGTCAGAAATTGTGACTATTTGTTAATTATAATGCGGCAGGTTCAAAATCATTATTATTAAGTCTATCCAAAGGTAAGTCTGATTCAACAGGACTTTTTTTAAAGATTTATTTATTTATCTGAAAGTCAGAATTACACAGAGAAAGGAGAGGCAGAGAGAGAGAGAGGTCTTCCATCAGCTGGTTCACTCCCCAACTGGCTGCAATGGCCAGAACTGTGCCGATCTGAAGCCAGGAGGCAGCAGCTTCCTCTAGGTCTCCCATGTGGGTACAGGGCCCCAAGGACTTGGACCATTTTCTACTGCTTTCCCAGGCCATAGCAGAGAGCTAGATCGAAAGTGGAACAGCTGGGACTCAAACTGGTGCCCATACAGAATGCAGGCATTGCAGGCAATGGCTTTACCCGCTAACCCCTAAACCACAGCGTCAGCCCCTCAACAGCATTTTTTTTACGTGGAAAGGAATTTTGGAAAGCCCTTTTACTTTCTGTGTAATACCCAGAGGCAGAAAAGTTAAAGATGCTATTCCAGGGACAAATGTTGTGGCGCAGTGGGTTAACGCCTTAGCCTGAAGCGCCGGGTCTCATATGTGCATGGGTTTGAGACTCGGCTGCTCCACTTCCAATCCAGCTCTCTGCTATGGCCTGGGAAAGCAGTAGAAGACGGCCCAAGTCCTTGGACCCCTGCACCCAAGTTGGAGACCTGGAAGAAGCTCTTGGCTCCTGGCTTCGGATTGGTGCAGTTACAGCCATTGCAGCCAACTGGGGAGTGAACCAGTGGATGGAAGACCTCTTTCTCTCTCTCTCTCTCTTGTCTCTCTTCTCTCTGTGTAACTCTGACTTTCAAATAAGTAAATAAATCTTAAAAACAAACAAACAAACAAAAAACCAAGATGCTATTCCAACCATGAGGAGTAGCAGGGCCGGGGTTGGAGAGGAGAGTGGAAGGATAAAAAACAGGATTCCCACAGCCTAACAGAAAATAAACAAAAAGGGAAAAACAGCATTCTTTCTGTTTATTAAACAGCTCACTGGCACTTACCTTCCACTGGTGCAAGTGTTGTAATCGAGGTAATCTGACCATGCAGGTAAGGATCCAACTTAGTTGTGTGTGTTCAGACACCTAAAGACATCAAGTAGAACATTAACAAAAGGGACCAACATGTTCTTGCATGTAAGACAAAGCTATTACAGAAAATGGGTATTTTCTTAAATGGCTGAAAATACCTCAAGTCAAGATTATTAAAAGAATGACAGGGAAAGGTGGCTTAGTTCTGATTCACAGAGTCTTAGATTAAGAAATCATAAAAGCCCGCTGATGGAACAACTAACCGAGTGTTGAAATCCTCCCCTCTGCACCCTCTAGCAGTGAGGTGGCCAGCCTCTGCTTCAGCATCTCCAGTGAGAGGGTCCCATTATGTCCTGAGACAGCTGTTCTTAAAAAGCCACACTTACTAAAAAGACACATGCACACACACAAACACACACTCACACACACTGGTTTCAAGACCTCTCTAAATAACTTACAGCTATAATACTTCACTTGTCAATGGTAGTAGAGAAAAATGTGGAGCTTGGGGCCGGCGCTGTGGTTCACTTGGTTAATCCTCTGCCTGCGGCGCCAGCATCCCATACGGACGCTGGGTTCTAGTCCTGGTTGCTCCTCTTCCAGTCCAGCTCTCTGCTGTGGCCCAGGAGTGCAGTGGAGGATGGCCCAAGTGCTTGGGCCCCTGCACCTGTGTGGGAGAACAGGAGGGGGCACCTGGCACCTGGCTTCAGATCAGTGTAGTTTCGGCCGAAGTGGCCATTTGGGGGGATGCAATGGAGGGAAGACCTTTCTCTCTGTCTCTCTCTCTCTGTCTATAACTCTACCTGTCAAATAAATTTTTTTAAAAGTGGAGCTTAAAATTAAATACTGAATTCTTTAGATCTAGAATGATTTGAAATTTAGGGTTCATTTTGCCATCCCATCATCCAAAAGGGCATTTTAAAAAAAGATTAATTTATTTGAAAGGCAATGTGACAGAGAGAGAAGGAAAGACAGAGATCTTCCATCCTTTGGTTCACACCCTACATGGCTGCAATAGCCAGGGATGGGCCAGGCCGAAACCAGGAGCCAGCCCAGAACTCCACTCGGGTCTCCCATGCGGATATCAGGGATCCAAGTACTTGGGCCATCATGCACTGCCTCCCCAAGTGCATTAGCAGGAAGTTGGATCAGCAGCACAGAGTAGTTGGACTTGAACCAGCACTTCAATATGGGCTGTGGGCATCCCAAGCAGAGGCTTAACCCAGTGTGCCACAATGCTTGTTCCAAAGGTCACTCCTCTTCTACTTTCATTTCTTTTTTTAAGAAGAGGTCATGCCAATGAAAAAATATAAACTTTCTTCCATTTGTTTTTGTTTTAACCAAATTTAATCAAGTAACCACATCTGGCAAAAGCCGTGATGACTCTTGGGCTCAGGCCACATTCTAAGTGATGACCTAGAATTGAAGCCCTGTGCATCTTATTTGTGGACTGTGGGGATTCTGAGCCCTTCATCCACTGTGGCTTTTTTGTGTCCATATGATTTCCTTGAAAAGCCGAGACTTGCCAATTCTGAAAAGTGGCTCCAATGTGTTCTTCCTGAGTCTTGCAAAAGGAACGTAAAGAAACAAAGCCAAATCAGCCCAGGTCTATTTTACTATCAAGGAATCTCCATCTGGTATCAGACAGTTTCTCAATTTTACTCTCAAATTATAGAAATGAAAGCATTGTTTTTCACATGCTTGACAAGAAATCATTTTCACAGTTTTGCAAATTTCTGGGCTTCATTTGTCATCTTTCTCCAAGAGGTATTTGGGCTTCATTGAGGAGAGTGACCCTGACAGCACTGTCCATGCAAATTGCTAACTCCCTCAACAAATAAACAGCTATCAGACCAAACTGGGAAGCCAGGATGTAAACAAGAGGATTGGGGTTGCTTCTTATCATCAAGCAAAACACATTCCCATTAGGACCAATAAAATAAAAGCTGTTTTTTGGCATGAAGAAGTAGGAGAGATTTTTTTTTTTTTTTGTCCTTACTAAATTGGGGGCTAGGCAATGAAAGCAGAAAAAAACATAGGTATGTGGAATGATTAGATGACTTCTTGCCTTCAGCTCTGGTTCCAGTGCTTAGCTTTGGTGATATGTAAAAGCCATCATCATGCCTCCATGAAGTCAAGTATTTTCCTTGGAGTAGCTTTTTATTTGGACATACAGAATGGGATTTACTTAATAGTCTTACAGAGATCTTCCTGGTGTTTCCAAAACAGGGAGTATCAAATTAACTCAAACTATCCTCATACAAGACAGCAGGAAAAGCCTATTGAGCCACGGCGCCGGCTCACAATTCATCTTTAATAGTAAGAAGAGTGGTATACTTTAGAGTCTGGTTCTCTTTATTGGTATTCACAATGATTGCTTGGAAAGGTTCTAATTTCTATTTGGGGAAAGAATAAAAAATGGCATTGAATATAATATTCAATGAAAAACAAAGGCATGGAACAATAATGTTTGGCAACTGACCTGCCGGTGATCTAGGCAAAAGCAGTTTCCAGGGAGCAGAATGGGATAGAAGCCAAGTTACAATGAGCTAAAGACTGAGGTCAGGAGGAGAGAAAGTATGAAAGACATGAAGAAGCATTGCAGAGTGGTTAAGAGCTCTGTCTTTAGAGTGAGGCTGCCTGGGTCTGCAGGCTAATGCTGCCACCTGACAGTTGGGTGACTCCAAGGAAGCAACTTCACCTCAGTGCTTCAATTTTGTGACCTATAAAACCAGGGTAACAATAGCATTCACCTGACAGTGCTTAGAACGGTACCTAACACGTGGGAAGCACTCAATAAATGATGGTTATTACCATCACAGGTAAATTTAGGAAGACTTTTGTTTTAACCTTTTATTTTGAGATAATGGACAATTTACATTTACATAGTAGTAACTTACAATTTACAATTTACATAGTAGTAAGAAATAAAACAGAGAGATCCTGTATACTCTTCACCTGGTTTCCCCAAAGGCAACATCTTGCATAACTATAGTTTAATAACCGGGAAACTGATTTTGATATAATTCACTTACCCTATTTAGACTTCACTGGTTTTCCAAGTACTCATTGTGTGGGTGCACTTCATTTTATGCAATTTCATCACATAGTAAGCTACTCAAGTTTATTTAATTTTTAGAATATTTTATTTATTTTTAAAGATTTATTAATTTTTTAATTGGTTGTCTTCCTCTTTTTTGTTAAATTTATTTGACAGATAGAATTAGATAGTGAGAGAGAGACAGAGAGAAAGGTCTTCCCTCCGTTGGTTCACCCCCCAAGTGGCCACTTCGGCCGGAACTATGCTGATCCGAAGCCAGGAGCCAGGTGCTTCCTCCTGGTCTCCCATGCAGGTGCAGGGGCCCAAGCATTTGGGCCATCCTCCACTGCCCTCTTGGGCCACAGCAGAAAGCTGAACTGGAAGAGGAGCAACCAGGACAGAACTGGTGCCCATATGGGATGCCAGCGACGCAGGCAGAGGATTAACCAAGTGAGCCACGGCGCCAGCCCCTGTCTTTCTCTTTTTTAAAAATTTTATTTAAGTTATATGAGTTTCATGTATTTCCTATACACAGATTTAGGAACATAGTAACATTTCCCCCACTACCCTCCTTCCTACCCAGGCTCCAACCCTACCTCTTCCCTGTCACATTCCCTCTTAATTTTTACAAAGACCTACTTTGTTTACTTAATACTTAATTTTGTTTACTTACTTTTGTTTGCTTACTTAACTTTGTTTACTTAATACTTACCCTACACTAAGTAAAAGACTTCAGCAAATAGTATGACGAAAAAAGAAAAGAAAAAAAATACAAAAACACTGTTCCTCAATGGACAAGACAAGGGCTGTAAACAATCATTGACTCTCACAATGTCTATTTCACTCCAATACATTACATTTCAGATACTCTATTAGTTACCTTGGATCAGGAAAACATATGATATCTATCTTTTTGGGACTGGTTTATTTCACCAAGTATGATGGTTTCCAGTTTTCATTTTGTTGCAAAAGACAGGATTTCTTTCCTTCCTTTCTCCCTCCCTCCCTTCCTTCCTTCCTTTTCTGTTTTTTTACAGCTGAGTAGTACTCCATAGTGTATCTATATCTATATCTTAGCTATCGTGAATTGAGCTGCAGTGAACATGGGGTACAGATAACTCTTTTATATGCTGCTTTCTTTTGGTTTGGGTAAATTCTCAGGAGTGGGATGGCTGGGCCATATGGTAAGTCTATATTCAGATTTCTGAGGTATCTCCATACTGTCTTCCACAGTGGCTACACCCGTTTACATTCCCACCACCAGTGGACCAGGGTACCTTTTTCCCCACATCCTCACCAGTATTTATTGTTTATTGATTTCTGTATGTGATCCATTCTAACTGGAGTGAGGTGAAACCTCATTGTGGCTTTGATTTGCATTTCCCTGATGGCTAGTGATCCTGAGCATTTTCTCAAGTGTCTGTTGGCCATTTGAATTTCCTCTCTTGAAAAATGTTCAAGTCCTTTGCCCATTTCTTAACCAGATTATTTGTGTTGTTGCTGTTGAATTTCTTGAGCTCCTCATAAATTCTGGATATTAAATTTATTTATTTATTTGAGAGGCAGAGTTACAGACAGAGAGATGGAGATACCGAGAAAGAAGTCTTCTATCTGCTGGTTCTCTCCCCAACTGGCTGCAACAGGTGGAGCTGGGCCAGTCGGAAGCCAGGACCCAGGAGCTTCTTCCAGGTCTCCTATGTGGGTGCAGGGGTCCACACACTTGGATCATTATTGCCTTCCCAGGTGATGGCAGAGAGCTTGAGCAGAAGAGCAGCCAGGACATGAACCAGCACTCGAATGGGATACTGGTGCTGCAGGTTTAACCTACTATGACACAGAGCCAGCCCCTAAAGATTTATTTATTTTATCTGAAAGTCAGAGTTACAGAGAGGGATAGGCTGAGGCAGAGAGAGAGAAAGATCTTCCATTCATCTGCTGGTTCATTCCCCAAATGACCCCAACAGCCAGGGTTGGGTCAGGCTGAAACAAGGAGCCAGAAGCTTCATCGGGGTCT